TAATGAGAAACATATGAGAGGCTCCAAATATTCTGGAAATGAATGCAAAGCAACATTCCAATCAACACGGGTCAGGTTTCCTGGCTTGTTTCTGCACATGTGAAATCAGACAGCATGAGCCGGTGAGCGTAGGTGGGTGACCGCTCATGACCGAGTACATATTTGTGTGTGTTGGGAAAGGGCCGCTTCTGCCCCGGCTCCCAGCAGCCTGGAGAATCAATCTTTTACACAGAGCAAGACACACTCCAGGACATTAACACTCTGCTGTTTCCAAGAGCCTCTGTTCACACCAGCTCCAGAGGAAACACCATGAAAGAAGGAGCCTCAAGCTGCTAAAAAGCTCACAGAGCAATAAGGAGAACCAGTTCCAAATCCCATAAAAGTGGAAAAGGTTTCAAGAACAACTGCCTGTTTGTTCAGAGAGTGCCCACAGAGAAGGAGGGTAAATAAAACTCAGTACCTGTTAGATTTATAGGCAAATAATCATTATCTACTGTGTGTAGATGAGTGAAGGATAATTTTATGCAAACCACAATAAGTAAATTCAAACAGTGAGAACTAAGCCTGCACAGTAAGAGCAGGAAGTTCAGGGAGGGGAAAAAAATAAGGAAATGGCATTTTCTGTGTGGTGTATCACCAACCTGGGAAATCCATTATGGAGCCAAAAACGGCAACAGGATTTTATAAAGGCACTGGCTTGAAATAGAGCTATGCATCCCCTAGGACTTGTATGGTGATTTCATACCTACAGCAAAATTCTGCTCCCCGTGATCTAATTACTAATTGGCCTTACATAGCGGATTATGAAGAATTAGTAAATTGGAGTTTTTACATAATGAGTGTACAGTATAAACTCTTTAGGGGCCTTCACGGCACATTGAATTTTTGAATGAATCAGTTTATGTCAAATATCGGGAGCCAAGCACCCTCACCAGTGGAGCCTGGGATTTCATGGACCTGTGTCTCAGAACTGTACAGCTTTCTAATCAAAACACTGCTTTTACAAGATTTTTCAAAAGCAGGATATTTTATTTTGGCCAAGTTGAAAATCTCTTTAAGTTTGGTGGGTTTTAAATTGGAAAGTGAAACCGGGGTTTTTCAGGTTCAGATTTCACTTACTCCTTATCGAATGTCGTTCCCTGGGTGGTAGTGGAAGATGAAAAGAAGGCTTTTAAAGGATTATATAATGCCTATAAATAGATTCATTAAAATAAGGGCATCAGTTTACTGGAGCCCATTTGAAAAGCATGTGAGCATTAAAACACTGAGGAAAACGTTCTTAGAGCAAGAGTGTAGGTCTTAAGAAACTAATTTTGTTGAAACAGTTTTGCTGAATTATAAGCTCCAGTGACTTCACACTGTCAGGTGGAAGCATATTAAATGAGCTCACCGGAGCTTTGCAATCAGAAACAAGTGGGTTTAAACCTAGGCTCTGGAGGAAATGAGGGAGGATCGGAGAAAGGAAGGAAGGAAGAAGGGTGGGAAAGAGCACACATTAAAGAGTTTCTCTGTATCAGGCACTTACCAGGATGCTTTCATGTATACTTACCTTCTGCTGCTTGGTGTGGGGTCTCGTGCAGTTGACCTTACCTCCTTGGGCCTTAGGTTTCTTATCTAGGTATGGAAAACAAAACCAACTATCGTGGGATTCTAGGAAGATGGTAGTGGCAATATAGCTTTTTGAGTTCTCCTAAATCACCCCAATAAAAAGACAGTACCAAATAACTAACATTAAAAAAAAACTTTTTAAAAATAAAAACACAGTACTTAGATAGCAAAAGTAAAAATCCAATAAAACCGAGCAGCAAGGTACAACACCAACCTCAAAATACAAGCAGGCAGAGGCAAAGTACTGATAGCCACAAGACTTGTGTGTTGTTGTCACTTGTGTGAGGGACAAAGCAGGGAGAATGACAAGGCGCTGGGTTCTCCTGAGGGTAAGGGAACCGAAAGGCACCCGAGGGGTAATGTCTGAATACTCCCGCAGGTCCGTTGGAGAAGAGGGGCTGAGTCCGAGAAAGGCACTGTTTGCCCGGCAGCATGTGAGTGTAAAGCACCCGCTGTCAGCCCCACGGGTGAGGCAGTCTGCTGCCCGAGAACTCCCAAAGCTGACCCATCAGCACAGGGCTCCATGTGTAGCCAGAATGCAACAATAGAGGCCAAGGAAAGGAGGGGCAGATAAAAGCGAGGAAGCTGAAAAGGGCTAGGAGGTCTCAGAATGTAAGGTGCTGTAGCTTTAACACTGTAGGTGAACAGCAGAAGAGAAATGACAGTGACATTAGAAACATGACTTAACGGTAGAGTTAGACTTCAGTTCTTGAGTTCCGTTAAGAAAGAATTCAGAGCCAACAAGCCTAATGCAAGATGCTTATTGAGAAAGTCACAGAGGTAGAAGAAGTGAGCCAGCTGGGCCACGTGGACTCAGGACATAAGTCACAGAGGCAAAAGAAGGGCCCTTGGAGCTTAGGAGAGAGAAAACAAAGATATACTCCTGAGAAAGAAGGTGCAGGCATGTGTGTGGAGGGCAGTAGTGGAACTGGGTCCCTTGCCTTAAGGGTTTTTATCCGTTTTCTAAAGGCAGGAATTCTAGGGGAGGTCTCAGGGGAGGCTCTCAATAGAATATTCACTAACTTGCCAGGGGTGCCTTTCCAGGATCATGGTCTCTACTGATTGGTCAGCACTAGGCCAGGGTGTCATAGGTCATTGCAGCTGGCCCTGAGGTCAACCATGGCATCATCTGTGTTTGCTGCTTTTCTGGGTCTGGAACATAGCCGAGGCCTAGATGGTATCTCTAGTTTGGCCAGAACTCTGTCTCTGTGGTTAACAGACCCAGGGCTTGGCTCCTGAGATTGTTGGATGCTGGTCAGAATCTTACTGTCCTGAGGGCTTAAAGCTGAAGGGAGTGGCCCTACAAGGGACTGTATGGGAACCACTGAAGGACATTCTCTGGTCCCCTTGTCCCCTTATAAGGGGGTCCAACTGCACAACTAATGAAATGCTAGGGGAGGGAGGGTAACCCTGGGAGTGAGGTCCTGGCTTGTAACAGTTGTTTTCTCTGGTTTTGCCCATGGCACCCGAGACTTCCTGTGCCGGTCACATTCCATACCCCGCCTCGTCTAACTGCCTACTGTCTCACTACTACTTTCCAACTGTGCAGGAAAGCGAATGTCATAAAAACTGAACAACAAGAAATGTACTGAGCTCAAATCCCATACAATCACAATGAAGTCACACCAGGAAGAAATGAACGAGATCAAAACTGTAACTTATTTCAAACACACACACCCCTATATTAATGATATAAAACATGAAACAATAACATAAGTCCAAAGTAGAAAAGTCATAAATAAGCTGATACGAAGAGCTTCCAGGGGCCCGTTTTGCTTTTCCATTGCTCTGAGTGAAGGACCAGCAGAAGCAAAGAGCAGAGCACGTGTCCCTGTGGCTCATCTTTGACTTCCCAGGCTTTTCACGTGTGTCCAACTTTCACGGTATTGCAAACTCCCCTGGACTGGCAACAGAGTAGCCTTGGAATCCATCCCAGCCCAACATCTCCAGGTCTAAAACCAAAGGGTATTCTGGGAGCCATAAAGGTGTTTAATAAGGTAAAACAAAGCCAATCTCACTAAAAACATTGAAGCTCTTCACGCTTCCTCAGCTCAGATGGAGGGATTTTCACCAGCACGTCCTCCGGGCTGTGGCAGTTATCTGGTGGCCTTCCGTCAAGACAACATTTGAAGGAAAAGTGCATCCCCATGTCCTGAAGATGTAGTAAACGGACACACCGTGGTTTTTTTTACTTTGTTTTTACTTCATTTGTTTGTGGCGAGTCATCCTAGCACCTTTCATTCAGAGCCATGTTGACACCCTCCCACCTGACTCAGCTGGAAAGGAGAAGTTCAAGTTCGTGTGCCACGGAAGGAAGAGGATGGTTCTGAGAGAAGTAGTTTACAATTTTCCCAGCTTGAAGTAGCAGCATCTTATTTTTTACCTCTCCCTCTTTAAAGAAAGGTAATACGGGCAGGGTATTGAAGTGTGAATGAAAACAAAATGAATTTTAAATCTATGTTGTCACTAATATACCCAGGAAAGATTCTGACTTTATTTCAATCATTTCTCAGGGTCTTTAGTCCAGTCCCTTTCCTGATGTGCTAATGACTGCATCGAAGAGACATGGACTTGGCGGGAAATTTCCAAAATCATGGACAGTTCTGTTTCCGATATGTAATTACTTATATGACATAAGTGCTGTCTACACACACACACACACACACACACACACACACACACAAAACAAGAAGAGGAAGGAAGGGAGGCAGAAGGAAGAGATGGGGGATGAGAAAGGAAAGAAAGAAAAAGTTAAAAGCTTTAAACTCAAATAACAAGGATTTAATTTCTTTTTTTTTGAAGTAAAGAAATTTACGGAAGTTTTTTTTTAATTTCAATAGAATAAAATTGATGATATATAAAGGGTATATGGTATATTATTGCTCAGGAATAATAATAAGCTTTTTTTTACAAGTATGAAACTTTGAACTTGCCAGAAGACATACATTATTGTAGTACAAGGATTTAATTTCTGCCCCGTATTTATAAGGCTGGGATCACATCATCCATTGGAAAATAATGTATTAACCCTGGGAGCACGGATTCATTTCCCACCCAACTCCCAAGTTACTACTTATTTTATTATTATTTATTGATTCTAGAGAGAGGGAAAGGAAAAGAGAGAGAAATATCAATTTGATGTTCCATTTATTTATGCATTTGTTGGTTGATTCTCCTATGTGTCCTGATCAGGGACCAAACCAGCAACCTTGGCGTATTTGGCTGACACTGAACAACTGAACTACCCCGCCAGGCTCCCCTGAAGTTCTTATTGCTAAGTGGCAGTTGCTGGGAACTGGCCCGGAATGAGCTGGCAGTTCTGGTTCTGTCCCTCACGACTCAGAGGGTATGTCACAAACACTCATGTTAGGTACTACCTTTCTTGAAGAGGCAAAGAGGAGAGACACTCCTTGGTGACCAGCTAGCTTTCAACTCACTCCAGCCGAGGCGTGTGTGGCAGAGGTTGTCCTGTGCTTTCCAGCTCCGGAGACTTTAGGATTCTGCTGCTAAGGCTTCAGAGGAAACGCCTGGTTGCTAATTTGGTCACTGCTGAATCCATCCCGTCTGGACCACTTCTTCAGGATTGGGCCTGGGACACATCACACGCACTAAACAAAGGTGTGTTGAACAAGAGGTTGGACTCACCCCATAATCCCAACTTGAATAGAAATGAAACTTCTATCATTGTGAGAGCTTACAGCACTGATGCAATAAATTAAAAAGACAGGGTGTGGCATCTTTATAAGGACACAATCGGTAGGTAAGCAGTTCAGAATAACAGAGTCATTTGACTTGGGATACAGCTGTGTGGAAATGTGGCTGAGATGCCAGCCACTTGTCCTCTCACTGCCTGTTTACAGACTTGAAATACTCGAGGGGGGGGGCTGGGTTTCATTTCATTCCTTAGCCTCAGTTCTTGGATGAGCAAGTGCCTTGGGCAGAACAGGCAGGACGTGTGTAACGATTCCACATTCATCTCATCAGTTTCCACAGGGGTGCGTTACAGCACGGCCCTGGAAGGCATCGCTTTCCATTTTATTTACTTATTCACTTTGTGTGTGTGTGTGTGTGTGTGTGTGCCTACTGGATTTAGGTAGAATGCCTCAAGTCAGAAACCACGTCTATTCCTTTTTGCACATTGATGTCTAAAGCCGTGCCTGCTCATAAATTTCAGTGAAAATAGTAAAGAGCTTACCTGGCTGCATATACTCAGGTCCCCTTCCTCCCTCACCATGCCAGGTACATCTCTCTGAAAGCACACCCGTAAAAACATGCAGTAGCCATGCTTTCTAGCAGAGAACTTCCAGTTGAGCATGTATATGTGTATCTACATATACAAGTTTGCAAACATAAGTGTTTTTTCTGGGTTCATAAATGTGTGTGTGTGAGACATGAAATACACAGACCTAACTTACACTGGATGGTACATTCACTTGACTACATGTCTTTAAGGATCATCAGGTTGACCCGCCACACAGCTGTCTCCTCAGAGAAACTGCAGAAGGAGAAAAGCACGGAGATTAACCATTCATTTTCCTGTGGGCCGCCCCGTCCTGATCCATGGACCAGCCCAACAATGTCCTCACTGTAGCTATACTAGTTGAAAAGACAGGTTACCGCCAGCAGGAAGAGATTGTATGTTAAAAGGCCCTATTAACCAAAGTCTCCTTTGCATTAGGATGTGCAAGGTGAGCTAAAACTAACCCGAGAAGAGAGAAGATGAGCGCGTTACTAGCCAGTGGGTGTGGACTCTTCGGGCCACTGTGGCCACTCGATGACATCCCAAAGGCAGTCATGAGGTAAGAAGATTTCCTGTGCCCTCTTGAAGCACGCCAGGACTAAAATTTCAAAGCAATGTACTCTCAGGATTAAAAAAATGCAGTTCTTGCAGCTCTGTTCTATATCGGTGTATGGGTAAAATACAGAAAAATCAATATTGCTAAAAGCGATGAATTTCAACATATAACTGTGTACAGAACACTTGCACGGCTCCTGATGCCTGAAGAGAATACCCAGACATTACACTTTCTTTTGCCAGGACCCCCACAATTGTGCTCCTCTAGCCTTTTCCAAACTTGTTGTTCATCGCTTTCCCACTCGAACCTAATTCTTTAACTGTCTCAACTACTTGCAGTTGGTGCAATGGTGCTTGGTGCGTTCATGTCCTTGGATATGGTACGTTTGTGTCCTTGGATATGCTATTGCCTTTCCCTAGGTTATCGCTGCTATGCTGCCTGCTAAGCAAATTGCTACTTGTCCCCTGGGAGTCCTCCGACCCTCTGTCTGCCACGATAAGTGGGTTAGTCCCTTTTTTGTGCCGACATTCTGCTTGTCCCATGCTGCCATTTTGACAGTCATTGGCACATTCAACAGTTATTTGTTTACATGCTTGCTGACCCCGAAGTCTGTCATTGCATCCAATGTGGCAGCAGCTACTGATTATTAGTTCTTACTGTGTGCCAGATGCTGAGACTGGAAATGTAATTGGCAATTTATAATTTTATACCCTTCACATCACTCTGTCTGGAGACGATAGGGCTATAAAAACAAGTCATGTCCGTAAAGTAGAGGGAATACAGTAGGAGATGAGAGAAGACCATTTGAGTCTGGAGCTTAGGGAAAGCTTCCGGGAGGGACAGAGGTTTGCAGAAGGAGCAGACTGTGATGTCAGCAGGAAAGCTTCCCAAAGCAATGCAGCCTGAATCCTCCAGCTCCAAACCACCCTCAGAAGACAGCCCTGGGGTTGTCTGAGTTTAAACAGTTCTGTCATGGGTGGTTTTGTGGGACTTCGCATTTCTCCCCTCCACACATTGAATTACGAGTGGTGAGGCAGTAATTGCTTTTTCTTCATACTTTTAAACTGCTCACTATTGCTGTTGGTATTCAGAATAAAAGTTGACAAAGTTAAGGATGAAGCTGAAATAAAAATAACCTCTGGCTTTTTCATGTAATCTTACTGTGTACAAGACTGTCACAAAATATGAACTCATTTTCTCCTCAACTCAGTCTTTTGTAGTAGGTGCCTCAACATTTCTGACTGAAGACAGAGTTTAATTGACTGGTCCAGACTCATATGATGAATGCATGGTTTTCAAACCCCTGACTCAGCTGATAACAATCACTAGCATTGGTATCATTTTACATATGCCTTGTCGTTTAACATTACAATAACTCTAAGACCTATGAATGACTATCATCCTTATTTTATGGATGAGAAAACTGAGGCCTATAATGTTAAGCTTGCTCAAGGTCGGAGAGCAAATGAGTGGTGGGTCAGGCACTCTAACACAGGTCTGACTCCAGAGTTTGCTCCTAACCACTGCCGAGCTGTTCCAAGTATGGAATGGTGGATGGCTGCGTTCAAAGAATCTATAATCCATTGGGGAGGGGATGGGAACAAGAGGAAAATGTTAAATTAATACCTATAAAATTACCCAGGATTAACGATGGCTTCTGAGCTTTTCAGTTTACCTTTAGAATTATTTCATTTCATTCCATTATATCTCCGCATGAATTTCTCTTATTTCTCTTGCTTTCTATCTTTGGTCACCTCAGGACATTTTTCGGTCCTTAAGTATTGTTTTGTCTCTAATCAAAGGCATATGGCCCCTTACATGTTACCCTTCCTATCCCTTAACCTCTTCTTTTTATAGCCTTTTCTCTCTCTTTGTGCTGTGTTACATGCTATTCCCTCAGATTATTCACAAATTTTCTCTTCAGTGGTATTTAACTTGATACGTAATCCATCCATTAAGTGGATGGATTGCCTTGCTATATTTTTTTTAAATGACCGTGTTGAGGAAGAATTTTCATACAATAAAGGGAGAGCATTGCAAGTAGTCTAATCAGTTGTGACAAATGGGTCCCAGTCCCCTCCAGCCTGCTGGTAGTCTTTCCCCTAGCTGTGCCTGCAACAAGTCCCCAGTGCTGCTTTTGGTCCTAATAGGTCAGTTGTTCTTTTATATTCAAGAATTCTGTATATAAGGAATCAAACCATGTTTCTTTTATCATGTTTTTTTTAGATTTATTCATGTTGTTGCATATATCAGTAGTTGGCATTTTCTTTTTTAATGCTGAGTGGTATCCATCGTGTGGACACCCCACGATCTGTACCCGCTGACACTGATGGACATTTGGTTTGTTTCCGGTTTTGCATTATTATGCATAAAGCTGCCACGGCCATTTGCGAACACCGCTGTTTGTGGACACATGTTTTCATCTCTCTTAGGTAAATATTTCTAGCAGTGAGATTGCTGGGTCATATGGTAAAGGCATGCTTAGCCGTTGCAGAAACTGCCCAGCTGGCTTCCAAGGTGGTGGTACCATTTGCATTCTCACTAGCAATGCAGGACTGCTGTTGCTCCAGATTCTTGCCAGCATTTGGTACTGTCTGGTGTTTTCACAGTAATCATTACAGTGGGTGTTGTGGTAAGCAAAATAACGACACCCCCCCTAATGATTCCCACGTCCTAATCCCTCAAACCTGTAAATGAATGACCTTACGTGGCAAAAGGGACTTGAGAGATGTGACTCAAGTTAAGAACCTACCTTAACCTACAAAGATTATCCTGGATTATCCAGCAGGGCCTTCATAACTTTAAAAGTGGAATTCCTGGCGGTGGTCACAGAAAGATGTGACAAGAGAAGGGGGACCAGCCAGATGACAGTGTCAGAAGGACTTGACCCACTGCTGCTGGCTTGGAAGATGGAGGCCAGAGGCCATGAGGGCAGGAATGTGGCTGGACGGCCTCGAGAGGCTGAGACAGGGAAGGAAACACCCTCCCGGTGGCCTCTTGGCCTGCTGCCCACTTTGATTTTGGCCCACTGAGACCCACTTCAGACTTCCAGCTTACAGCAGTGAAAGACGATACATTGGGGTTGTTTGCAGTCATTCAGGTTGAGGTCATTGGTTGCTGCAGGAATAGAAAACCAATATGGGTCTATAGTACATCTCATTATGGAATATTTTCCCATTTCCCTGATGACTAATGAAATTATCATATGCTTATTGGCCAGCCATATAAGCATATGGAAAGTCTTTTGTGAAGTCTTTGTACAGAGCTTTTACTCACTTTTAATTGGGCTGTTTAGGTTTTTAGTACTGAGTTACAATAGTGCTTTTAATGTCATGAAAACAATTCCTTTGCCAGATTGTTTATGGCATATACCTTCTCTCAGTCCATGACTTGCCTTTTCATTTTTTAAGGTATCTTTCAAAGAGAAATTTTAAATTTTGATGACATCAAGTTAAATTTATTTTTTTATATGAAGGTTCTTTATGTATCATGTCTAAGAAATATTTACTCAAATATTTTTTTCTTATGTTCTCGGTTAGGAGTTTTATAGTTCTAGACCTGAGGTTTGTATCTATGATCCTTATAAACTGATCCTCAGTTTTGTATGTGGTGCAAAGAAAGAATTGAGGCCCATTGATTTTCAATAGTATATTCAGTTTTCCAGAACCTTTTGTTAAAAATCTATATTTTTTCTATTGAATTAATTTGGCACTTTTATCAAAAATTAATAGAACCAAGTTTCATTATGAGACCATGATGAAAGATAGGCACTTCTTATTTCCACTAAGCACAGCTAAAATTCCTGGATGTTACGTCCGTCACCAACATTTGTTAGAATGCTGAAAGCTGAAGAGCAGAAAGCAGACGAACCAGAGACCCAAGGAATGACACACTAGTAAGTTCCCTGAGTTTCTGTTTTGCCTAATACATTCCATGCTGGGTGCCGGAGAAGCTAACAACTCAGAAAAGCAAATATGAGCAGACCAAAAACACCCCAAGAAAAGCTTTCTCTTGCCCAAGGAACAAGAAAGGGGCAAGCTAAGAAGACAAATTGTTTCATCCATAACTTCCCTAAGTCCATCCAAATACTATGGAAAAACTATGGTAACACTCTCCCCCTTCTCAACAAAAGCCAAGGGCAGAGCCTACATTTCCCTGCTCAGCCGCTAAAAGAAGGCACCTTCTCCAACAGAGCTTTCTTGCAACCATTCGGCGGTAAAAGACCTTTCACGCCGTGGTGTCAATGGAGGCCACGTGGAAAGCAACAGAGACACGACCGCACCAATGTTTTGGAGTTGTTTTCCAGTTTCCCCTTTGCTATTATGTACAACACTATTATAATTCTAGAACCAATCTCACTGTGCACACATGCTAGAATGTTGTAAGGCACATAACAAGGAGTAGAACGCAAAGGTTTAGAGTATATGCCTGTTCAACTTTGCAACATAATGCAAGACGTCCCTATGTACACTTACACCTGAAATGTTTACTAAACAGTTTCCAGGGGTCCACATTTTCACCGGCGCTTGGTTTTGTCAGACTACTTTTTCACCCTGGTCAGTGTAAAATAGCATCTTTTTATGGTCTTAATCGGTATTTTCCTGGTTACTGTTGAGGTGGAGTATCTTTTCATGCCATTTCTTCTGGTTTCTTTTTCCACTTTTTGTTCTTTGTCCATTTTCCCATTCGGCTTATTGCTTTTTTCTATTTGATTCATTGGAGATTGTTTTTTAAAAAATTTATTCTACCCTGGCTGGTGTGGCTCAGTGGATTGAGTGCTGGCCTGTGAACCAAAGGGTGGACGGCTTGATTACCAGTCAGGGCACATGTCTGGGTTGTGGGCCAGGTCCCCAGCAGGGGGTATGGGAGAGGCAACCACACATGGATGTTTTTCTCCCCCCCCCTTCCCCTCTCTAAAAATAAACAAAATCTTTAAAAAATGTATTCAATTTATTTAAACCAAAAAAAAAATTTTACCCACATCTCTTACCCCTTTGCTACAG